AAAAAGGAAAAAAATTTTTTAAATTTATCCACAAATTATTTTTTAAAATGGTTATTTGGAATTTTTTTTTTAAATAAAAAAAAAAATTAAAAAAATAATAATAAATTTTTTTTTTTTTTTAATTTTTTTTTTAAATTTTTTTTGGTTATCTAAGATGTCCCATACCTATAGAGAAATGTTTTGTGTGTGGGGGGTTTTGAGCTATTTTAATCTTTTCATAAAAAATAATTAACATAAAATTTAAAGGGGTGGGTTTTTGGGTTTCCGGGGGGAAATAAAAAAGGGAAAAAAGGTATTATTTTTTTTTTTTTTTTTTTTTTTTTTTTCCCATATATATATAAAATGTGTATTATATTACTTTAAATTCCATTAAATAGTGTGAATATTTTATTTGTGTGCTAAATTTTTTTTTTTTTAATGTTTTTTTAATATAGCCAAAGACAATAAAAGATTATTGATATATATAAACCGAATAATTATATCTATCTATCACTAATTTATTGTTTTTTTTTAAATATAAAAAATATTAATTATTTAGTAAAAATATATACTTTTTTATACAAGTTTTTTTTTTTATTATTGTAATTATTTAATTAACAATTACTGTTTTGTTTGTTGTTATGTGCGTGTTTGGTGAGTGAGTTTGTGTGGGTGTGTTTATTGTGTTTTGTTTATATTTGTGTTTAAACAAATAAAATAAAAACACACAGCTCATCACTCATTAATTCATTTTTTTCCCTTCCTTGTCTCAAAATATAAAATACACACTCTTTTTCCATATTATTAATGATATAGTTAAAACCAATAAATAAAATAATAACAATAAAGAATTTAAAAATAATTAGTAAATATCTATACAAATAATTTTCAATAAAGAAATTATAATTATCATTTGTAATTTGATTTTATAATAAAAATCGTTTTGATCAATTAATATCGATATTTTATTATATTTAGAAAAAAAAAAAAAAAAAAATCAAAATCACAATATAATAAAAACATAAAATTTAGTTGTATTTGTAAAATAATATAGGTTTTTACATTTAAAAATGATTTTCAATATTAAATGACTATAATCAATCATTATGTGTAGTTTTAATATGTAATATGTAGTATTAATATGTAATATTAATATGTAATAACACAACTTAAATTTTAGTTATGCTAACACAGGTAATTAAATTTTTATAATTTTAAAATTTTTTTAAATTGTTATTAATTTAAATTATTTACCATTACAGCGTAGCGGGTTTTCAAGGAGGGGTTTCAATAAAAACAAAGGAGTAACAGTGTTATAATCAATATTCAGACATCATAAAAATAAAAAAAAACTATAAAATTAATTAATAAAGGGTGTTATATTTTTATTTTTTAAAAAATAAATAAAATATTTATTTAAAGTTATTATTATTTTTTATTATAAATTGATAAAATATTGGATCTAGGGAATCTAAAAATTTAGAATTTAGTGGATTGGAAACTTCAATTGATTTTAGATTATAGAAATTATAATGTTTTAGTTGATTATTAATTGTTGTGGTGGTGACAATTGTTGGATTTGAATCATTGTTAATTATTATAGTTTGTAGTTTTTTAAAATGTTCTAAATTTATAATTTGACCAGAGGAGGAAGTAAACGATACTGTTTTAATATTATTATCTAATGGTAAATCTTCGGGTAAAATAGGTTGTTTATATCCCAAATCAAATTCTAAATACTCTAAATTTACCTTGTTTTTTAAGTTTAGTCTAGATAATGGGTATTTGTAATTAAGTGGTATACATAAATTATATAATTCGCAATTGGATTTAATATCATTTTCAAATTGTAATAAATAATTTTCTATATTACAACATTTTACCAAAGTTTTTTTATTTTTAAGCTGTATTAAGTGTTTGTATTGTGGGTTTTTTAATATTAAAATTTGCAAACTTGGCGGAAAAGCATCACATTGAAGTATTTGATTAAAATTAACACCGAAAATAACTGTTTTTAAAAAAAAGCATTTTGATAAACTTGAACCGATATTTTGATTAAATGATGCACCAAAGTTAATATAGGTAATAGATTGTGGAAATATATTTTCACCCATTAATGGATAACCACCATTTTCAAAAGAGTCATTTTTATCATCAAAACTAATGTATTTTAAAGTAATAGGTAGTTGATGAGGTAGTAGCTTTAAGTTGAAAGGGGGATATGAGGGTTTTTGATTAACTGAAAAGCTGTGTGTAAATTCAAGATGTTCTAATGATCGAGGAATTACCACTTCACCAAATGAATCTATAATTGAGTTGGTGCTCCATTTTAAATATTTTAAATTTATTGGTACCATTTTATGGTCAAGAGGTATTTCACAATCAGTTCCCATTTTTATAGTTAACTTTTCTAAACTTTTAGGGAGTACCGGTTTGTTTGAAGTGTCATTTAAATAGTTTAGTTGTGTATATATTATTAACTCTTTTAAACCAATAGGTAGTTGAAAATTAAAAGTTTTGCAATTTATAAAAAGATATTTTAAATTTTGTGGGAATGGAAAATAATTTGGTATATTAAAATATTCGTTTGAAGATGAGCTTAATTCCAACGTAAGCAATCCTTTGGGTAGTATATCATGGTCAATTTCACTTGAGTTATTGTTATTTTGAATTATTAAATTTGTAAGGGATTCTGGTAGTGCCCCACTTTCAATGCCTATTTTCTTATTTGCATTATTAAAACAAATAAAGAGCTTCTTTAAATTCATTGGTAACATATCTTTTTTAATGTTGTTATGGTTTATAAAATTACGGAGATAAAGTCTTTCTATATTTACTGCATTTTTAATTATCGATAGTTCATCACTGTTTATAATATATATATCTAAAGTTTTAATCCATGAGGGTATCATTGAAAAGGATACATTCACTTGTGAAAAATTTAGTTTGATATTTTCGATATTTTGAGGTATTGATTTTAAATCCACATTAGCACTTAGAGTATTTAAATCATAAAAGTTTAATCTGATTTGATTTAAAAATTCTTTATATTTGAATTTTTGTAAAGATTCTATGGAATTAAAGTTTCGATAACTGTAAAAAATATTATATAATTTTAAAAAATACAATATTTTTTTTCTTAAATATAAATTTGACCAAATGGTATAAAATGAGTTCTTTTTATTTATTTCCATTATTATATTAAATATTATGTTTTGGTTGGTATTGAAAAATTAAAAATAAGAATTTTTTTTTATAAATATTAATTTTATAATTATAAATTAAATTTGATTTGATTAAAATTTTTTTTTTTTGAAATTCAAAAGATTTTTAGTTTTTCAAAAGAAATTGATTTTTTTTTTTTTTTATATTTTTCTTTTTTTAAAATTATTTGTATATTCCTTATTTCCACTTGTATCATTTGAAATATTATTTTCCTTTATAAAAGTTTCTTCAATATTATTTTCTAAACTATATTTTATATTATCTTTATTTATATTATTGTCTATATTGTTATTATTAAAGTTATTGTTGCTATTATTTTGTTGACTAAATTTTTGAAAACTATCATTATTATTGTTATTTATATTGTTTTCAAAGTATATTTCGTTGAGTTTTAAAGATGTTCTATTAACTTTTAATAAGTTTAGAATTATTAAAATTAAACTGGATATTCCTATTACACTAATTGGCACTATTGCTGGTATTAGCCAATGTGATGGCTTATCTTGTGGTTGGTGTTCATCACAGTTGAGATAATCGTTATAATTTGATATATATTTTAAAATTGAAAAGTCTGGTTTTAATGTTACATTGTTTTTAAAAGGTTCAATAAATACAAAAAATTTTCCTGAACCCATTTCTTGCTCGAATGGGTTTTCATCCAAATCTATAATACATGATTGGGGGAGTTGATCTGCTATACATTTTCCATAGATTCTTGAATACAATATGTCATAATCATAACGAATGTATACCCATCTAATATCATCTCTGCTGTAACCTCTACCATATTCGAATTCACTTACACCCCTAGATTGGCATTGGTTTCTTTCTTTGAGATTTGTTATGATGTTGAAGACCAACTTGAATGTATAATTCATTTGTAAATATGGAGCTAATCTATCTATAGTTATAAGTAATCTGAGGTCGCCACTTATATAAAATATCTTTTTATTGTTTTGATGGTCGAATTGTAAATCATTGGTTTCGTTTTTATTTTTTATTATTGATATTATTATTCTTACATCTTTATGATTTAAAATATATCTTTGGTCATAGTTTTCATTATTATATACATATGAAGCTATTAGGTTATTGCTATTATTATTGCTATTATTGTTAATTTTTGTATTATTTTTTTTAACTGATTTTGGTGATTCTGTTGATTTATAATGATCATTATTTATTAATTCCCAGTCTTCCATTTCAAGAAATAACCAAGGAGTAAAACCTTTAGATTTTCCTCTTTGGGGTTCAAAACCATTCATTAAAAGCATTAAGTCTGTAAATTCTATACTCCATGAGGTGTTTCCATTTGAATATGTTATATAAGGGTAATAGGGGTCTAGTTCTAGTGGCGCTATATAATCTGCTCTCTTTAAACTGCACTGCGGGCCGACATCTTCAATCTCCTTACAAATACATGTTCCTAAATAGCATTGTCCATCATTGAAACAGTTGTCGTTAATTCCATTACAATTTGAAATATCGTTAAATAAAAATTTGTTATGTTCTACACCCAATACCCCATTTGCAACAATATATATATCTTGTGCATTTAAATAGGTACTGCTTATATTTATTAATTTTAAATCACACTTAAGAATTTGAAAATTGTTTTCCATACTACTCTGTACTAAATTTGTTAAATAGTCCATCGTTTGATATAACTCCATTGAAACTTCACCATTTTGACCGTTTGAGTCAAAATAGTTATCTTTATAATATTCATTGGAATCCTGTATACTGTTGCTGCCATCATTACCATATTCTTTCTGTTTAATTGTTTCATCATATTCTATATTATAGTCATAGTATTCTTTTGTATCATCATTAATTTCATTTGAGTTTTTAATTTTAAATAATGACTGATTTGTAAAAAATGAAATATTATCACATAATATTCCACCAATATATATTATTATTTTCTTTGGGTCTGTACCAAAATTCCTTCCACTTATTAATACTGGATAATAGGGTATTGCACTTGTAGGAATTATTATTTCAGGTATTACTGAATTTGGTGGGTTTTTAATATTTCTAATGTAATCGGGTGGCAAGTTCGCTGAATAACCTATTAATAATTAAAATATAATTTTTTTAGTACTTAAAAATAAACATTGGTGTTCTTTAACATTCAAAGAATTTAAAATATATATCTTTATATTACCTTTATTACATAATAAAATAATAATAAATAATAATATTTTAAAAATAAAATAAAAAAAAACATTCATCTTTATAAATGAAACATTCTTTTATAAATTTAAAAAGTAATATTGCTTTCAAATTAAATAATAACTATTTTTTATATAGTTTTAAAAAAAAATATAAAGTTATTTGTGTATATAACTTGTATATAAAAAAATCTTATGTTTTTTTTATTTTTTTATTTTTTTTTATTATTTTTTTTAAAATATTATATTTTATTTTTTTTTAACCCCTTTTTCAAATATTCCCCCTTTTTTTAAAATTATATAATTTCTATTTTCTTTTTTTTCCTCACCACATATTTTAAAAATTTTTCTTATATAAAATATTTATTCATTATTATAATTTTATCTCTTTTTAGATAAAAAAATATTCATTTTAAAAAGTTATAATCATGATTCTATACAAATAATATACTTCTAGATATAAAGTTATAAAATAGTAAATTTATAGTTCACAAAATAAACATTTTAATAAAAAAAAAAAAAAAAAAAAAAAAAAAAAAAAAAAAAAACCATAAAAAAAACCTTAAAAAAAAGGTTTTCTCCAATTTATTTTTTTTAAAAAAAAAATAAATTGGTTTCATTTTATTGGGGGGGAAAAAAAAAAAAATTAAAAAAAATAAACTATGGGACCTTTTTAATAATGGCATTGGAAAGTGTAAATAATAACCCCTTAATAAAAAATAAAATTCCATTACCGGGGGTAACATTCCCCCCCTATTTTTTTTTAAACCCGAACCAAGGTTTGTTCATTTAAGAGGACCCCAAAAAAACAAAAAAAATTTTTTTTTTTCTTTTTCCCTTTTTGCCCCCCCATTTACCTTGGAAAAAGGAAATAAAAAATGGGTAACCCCCCCGGGTGGGGCGTGGTTTGGTAAATTTTTTTTTAAAATTAAAAAATTGGCCCCAAACCTGGGGGGGGGGGAAAAAAAAAAACCTTTAAAAATTTTTTTTTTTTTTTTTTGGGAAATCGGTCCCTTTTTTTTTAAAGGGGTTGTTTAAAATTAATTTAAAGGGGTTTTGGTTTTGGTTTTTTTGGGGGTTTGGGGAAAAATTTTCTTAAATCCCCCAAACCGCCGGTTTTTGGGGGGGTTTTTTTAATATTTTTTTTTTTATTTTCAATTTTTTTTTTTTTTTTTTTTTTTTTTGAATAAATAGAAGGGAAAAAAAATTATTTTTTTTGTGAATTTTAATATTCATTGTTTATAATTACATATAAATTCAATAGTTTTTATAATACAATAAAAAAAAAAAAAAAAAAAATGAAATTATTATTAACAATTTCTATTTTTCTAATTATTTTACTATTTTGTAATGAAAATAGCAATGGTTCCCAAATTTTATCAAATGCTGACTATTCCAAAAACATTTTGTACCAATTGGAGTTGAGAAACCAAAAAGTCAATGATGCCAGAAAAGTTCTTTCCAAAGAAGCCGTTCCAGGAAAAAACAACTTTTTAGCCGGTTCTATTGCCACTTTAAGTGTTTTGGGTCCAGTCTTAATCTTAACAGGTGCACTTCCATTTGGTTTCTTATTGGAGCTCGCTGCTGGTGTTCTAGAATTTGCAGAACTTATCACTGAGGGTAAAGCTAATGATGAATATGGAAGAGAAGTTTCAAAAGGTATCCAAGAACTGGTCCAAGAGTCAATTAAAAAATATGATATAGTTTCCCTCAAATCATCTCTCCAAGGTTTGAAAAATATCGTTGTTAAATTTGATATGCTAAAAAATGTTGAAGATCTCAAAAAAGAAGAAATCCACACCGCTGCTGTAAATGTAGATTTTGAATTCTCTTATGCTCTTCCTTCATTTTTAAAGGATAATGAAATGGGTCTATCAAGTATTGGTATTTTTGTTTTGGCAGCTAATTCCCATTTGGTGTTCCTATCAAGTTTGGTCACAAATTCAAAAAGATACCAGTTCACTGATAAGGAGATTCAATACTATTATAAGAACTTTTTAGATGCCAGAGAAGAGTATTACAACAGAATCAAAGAAATTGATGACTATGGAAAAGCCCAATTAGAGAAAAAAATTATGGATAAAAAAATTACAAATGTTGACGAGTGGAATCTCAGAAATGATTATTACAATTTTATGAAAATGTAATATTTATTTAAAAGTTATTTATATTTTAAACATTATACTAATTTATAAATTTTTTTTAAAAACTATAGATATGTTTATGATATTTCAAAATATTGGGCTTATATGGATCCATTTATTTTTGGTCAAGGGTATGTAAAAATAGATTTATTTTTAAAAATAAAAGTTTAATATTAAAATTCAATTTTATTTTTTATAGTGTCAGTATTGAAAATGCAGATGTCATTCTTTCAAAGATTATTGGTTCAGCTTTCAATGGGGATAGACAACTTTCTTATAAACAAGTAAATCAAATTATTGAAAACAAAGGTATTAGAATGTATAATGGTAAATTTACTGGCTTTTCATACAGAAACAACGGTTGCAACAACTCACCATCAGGATTTGCCTATAGTATTCCAAAATATTTTGGAGGTATCAACTACTTTATTAGCAAGGGTAAAGAAATTGAAACTGGTGCAGAAGGTAATACTGATTTTGATTCTCAAACTAACATAAATGGACCTTTAACAAAAGTAAAAGTAGACCAAATTTCAAAAATAACCACATACTCTGCAAATGGTTTGAGAAATTCAAAATTTTATCAATTTGGTTTGGATATTAATGGAACCAAATTTGGTGACACCACATGGTACAAATATGTTGAAGTTATAGGCTACCCATACAGAATTGTTTCAAGTATAACCCCAACAACATTTAATCCATGTAGAGTTCCATGTAAAAATTATAATACAAATGACAAAATAAGTTTAATTGAAGGAATGGTACTCGGTTTTGTTAACAGTGATATTGTTGAAGATAATATTATTATTCAAGGTGTAAGCTCATTCGTAGATTGTCAAAAGTTCATCTCAATAAACTCAAATACTGCAACTCTTGTCCAAAATGGTTATAAAAACTCAATTAAATTCACTAAAAATACAAGAGTTACCTACAAGATTACTTTAAATTCATTTGATGTAAGTAAAAAACCATATATATAATGTTAATTTAATCAATACTAACTTTATTTTTTATAAAAAACTTATAGAAAAAAGCAGCACAATTTCAATTATTGTTAGAATACAGACAATTAACTGATTTTCCATTTAATATTAATGTTTATGTTTCAAATGTACCCAATCCATTATCATCTGATAAGGTTCCAGTTTCTTTAAAAAGTGTAGTTGATGAATGTGGTTTTGGTGACAGAATTTCTCAATTTGCAACTGTTTTATTAAACTCATCCCCAAACAACTATGTTACAATTGAGAATATTGGAAGTGATTTCCTTTTAAACAATCTAATTTTTAAAACAATTTTGGAAGATTAGAAACATGTAAAAAATAAAATAAAAAAAAAATAAGAAAAAAGAAAAAAAGAAAAAAAATATCAATAAATTTTATATAATCAAAAATAAAAAAATAAATAAATAAATAAATAAATCTGTATTTGAAAAATAAAAAATGTTTTTTTTTTTTTTTTTTTTTTTCGGTAATATTACAATTTATTAAAAGTTTCTTCTTTTAGTAGCCAGTTTGCTAAAGTTCAATATACTCTCTGAAAAACTATCAGTGTCCGAATAACTGTTATTGTAACTATCACAATCATTGTTGTTATTGTTACTATTATTATTATTTTCCGTATTGTCGTTATCATCTGTTTTGATTGTTGTTATTATTGTTGGTGCGGTTGATGATGCTCCATTTAAATGTATTTTATTTTTATCTTTATCATCACTGTTGGAATTGTTATTATTACTGCCACTATTGCCATTATTGCTATTGCTATTGCTACTGCCATTGCTATTGAAATTATTACCAAAATAATATTTTGTATTAAACTCTAAATTTTTTCTATTTGCTTTGAATAAATAAATAAAAATTAAAATAAAACAAACCAATCCAACAAATATTATTGGTAGAATTGTTGGAATGAGCCATTTTAGTGGGTGAACCATTGGTTCAAATTTATCACATGATACTTGAGTAAAATTTGGATTCTTGGTATTGAATAGTATACTAAAATCGTAATGGATAGATACATTGGTTGAGAATGGTTCGAAATAAGTCAATAGTTTGAGATTACCCTCAAAGTTATTTCTAGAGAGTTCGTTAATATCTACTAAACATGACTGCGGTCTACCATCCATGATACATTTGCCAAATAAACGTGAATACAGTGCATAGTCTTTGTTCCTTATATATGCCCAACGCACATCATCATAGTCGAAACCTTTGCCAAAGTCAACGTCAAAGTCACTATCTACATACCCACACTCTATATCCTTCATATCAGTGTAAACATAGAAAACCAACTGAAATGAATAATGATCACGTAACTCGATTGGTATATTTGAGAGAGTAAAGAAAACACGTAAATCACCAGCATGGTAGTATAATTTGATATTCTCTGAATCGAAAAAGTAGTCTAGTGTTAAATTGTTGTAGTAGAGAACATTGATTGTAAATGTGATTCCATTGGCCAATGTTAAATTGTAGGTACCAAACTCGCTTCCATACACGCCTGATTGCTGATCTGCCAACTTTAATGTCCAATTGGGGGTAAGTAAATCTATAAAATCATTGTATACCATAGTTCTGCTGTCTTCAACCTTCTTCTTTGTCATACCCAATGTTTCGAACGATATTGTCCACTTTGCTTGACCATTACTATAAACGATTTGTGGTTTCACCGGATCCAGTACTGGTGGATAGGAGGGAGATGTTTGCAGATTACATTGTGGGCCGCTATCAAGCATCGTATTGCATAGACACACACCAGAAAAACATTGACCATTTTCATTGCATTCTCTTATCGTACCTGGACAAGGTGTAATATCTCTAAATGTGAAAAAGTTATTTTCTACAGTAAGGGTTTGGTTGACCACAATGTATACGTTTTGTGCTTGTAAATAGTTGACACTGATATTAACAAGATGCAAATCGCACTGAAGGGTTTTCGCTTTGTAGGTACTTGATATATTTGCTAACCGCTCCAGATAATCTAATGTTTCGTCATATTCATCATCTATCAAATAATAATCTGGTTGGGAATAATCGATAACCATATTATGCGGATCGTCGTAAAGCTGATCATTAGTATTGAAACTTTCAATTCTTCTCTGCTTATTCTGTAATTCTCTAACAGTGCTTTGGTTGAAATAGACTATATTGTCACACTCCATTTTTCCTATATATATTGATATATTTTTTAAATCCACATTCTCCTCTAATCCTAATACTGTTATTAATACTGGAGAATAAGGTACTGAAACTACAGGCAAAATAAGTTCTAATGTTTTTGCCCCTTTTTCATTTTTGATATTTCTGATATTTTCTGGTGGTAAATTTTCATAAAATTCACTTGCTGTGTGAATAGAAATAAAAAAAAGAAAAAAAAATAATATCTTGATCATAATTTGTGTGTGTATTTTTATTATTATTATTATTATTTATAAATAGATACATATATATATAAAACTATACAATTAAAACCCAATTAATTATAATAAACTATATTATTAAACCTCCATATATATAAAAATTAGATAGTGGATTTTTAAAAAAGAAAATAAATAAATAAATTTAAATTATATTAATATAATTTTTTTTTTTACACACACACAAATACAAAATAAAATAAAACAAAACAAAACAAAACAAAACAAAATATTATTAATTATGTTAATGTGACACTCATTATTTTAATATAAAAAAAAAAGATAAATTAAACACACATTGTGTGTTGAATTTAAAAAGAAAAAAAAAAAAATAAAAAATAAAAAATTTAATTTATTTTTTTTTTTTTATTTTTTTTAATTTTTTTTTTTTTTTTTTTGTAATTTTTAAATTTTTAATTTTTTTTTTCATTTTCATTTTTATTTTTTTATTTATTTTTATACACTTTGATCTATAAAAATATCTTGATTGATATATGAAATAATATGTCTTCAACACCACCTCAACCACAACCAACACAAACAAACAATGTAAATACAACAAACCCAACATTATCAACTACCTCTCCAATAACAGCTCCAACAACCAATACACCATCTCTCACTTCTCCACCCACCCCAACTATAGCAATAACAAATGCCTCCGCATCACCTTTAACTAATAATACAGCCCCAAACACATTATCAAATACAACCGGATCAGCAATTCCAATAAATTCAACGATTACTATAAATCCAGTTACTGCTTCGGCTGCAATAAATCCAACTACACCTATATCAGCAACCCAACCACAAACTCCAACTGGATATATTGGATCACCACCTACAAATAATCTACCTTCTACTCCACCAACAAACAGTATAACAGCACCAATTTCAACCTCGACTCTATCACCATCTGCTAACAATAGTACATCATCAACTACAAATTCAGGAACATCACCAACAACCACAACAGCAAATAATTCAACCTCTACACCAACCACACCAAGTACAACAGCAGCAACAACCAATTCAACAATAAATTCAAATAAATCACCATCAACAAAAGATAAATCAATAGATTTAGCGGTTTTAAATTATTTAAAAAAAAGAGGATACAGCAATGCAGAGGCAATTTTAAAACAAGAATTAAATAACAATGGTACACCATTATCACCAAATAATGAAAACTTAAGTGAAGTTATTGATGATGTCGAAACTAATGATCAAGAATTAACCCAATATTTATTAATGTATAACAGTAGTCAAAAAGAGATTTTAAACCCACAAAACTATTTAGAATCCTATAAAAAACTTAGAAATTGGATTCACAGCTCATTAGATATTTACAAGAATGAATTGCTTTCAATTTTATACCCAGTTTTTGTTCACTCATATATTGACCTTATTACTAAAGGCTATCCAACTCAAGCAAGAGAATTAATGGAACAGATTGGACCAGATCACGAAGAATATTTTGGTGATGATTTAAAGTTATTAAGAGGTATTAGTAACACCGATCATTTAAAGGAAAATGAAGTAAGTAAACTCTTATTATAATTTGTTATTAATTACACTTTTTAGTTCTATAATATTAATTCTTTTTTGTAATTTTAGTTGGTAGATTTATTTAGAAATAATAGATGGAATATTAAAATGTGTGCATACTCTTTCGAATTATTAATGTCATTTTTACATCAATCAAATTTTATATTATTATTAAGTATTATCAATCAATATATTCATATTAATGTTAGTAATCTTAGACCTGGTTTCATTGATGACGAACAATATTCAATTTCATTTCAATCTGAAAAAGATGCAGGTAATTTAAATTCAACACCAATCAACTATCATTCATTTAAGCCAGATTACGAAGATGAAGTTTTAATGAATAAAGAAAAACAAGAACAAAGTGAAGCTCCACCACCAACAACCTCTGGTTATATCCCAAAATTAAAGAAAAAAGATAAAAAGAAAAAAGAAGTTAGAGATGAAAGAATGCAAAAATCACAATCAAATGTACCAATACCAATTTTGTAAGTATAATATTTTACATAAACCCATACTTTATTATTTCCAATATTAATCAAATTTATTAAAAAAAGAACTGAAAGATTTGAAAATGAATTAATGGACGATTTTACAAAGTGTATTTCATTATCATCAACCCATTTACCATCAATTTGTTTTTACACCATATTTAATTCATATCAAGGTTTAAATACTATTGATATTTCAAAAGATGCAGCATTAGTAGCAGGTGGTTTTTCAGATAGTTCAGTAAAGATTTGGAATTTAAAGGAAATGAAAGAAAAACAAATAAAAAGACAAGAGCAAGAACAAGAGCAATATGAAAGAACACAACAACAGCAACAACAGCAACAACAACAGCAACCATCATCACACGACGATGATGATATGAACATTGACTCAAATGGTTTAAATCATTCAACAACAAATAATTTTGCATCTAGTGCATCAAATGCATCATCAGCCCAAAATGGAATTTCACCCAATAAATCAATGAATAACTCTATTACAAATAAACTATTAAAAGCATCAAATAATGAAAGAGAATCAGATTTTAATTCATTTTTAGGTCACTCAGGTCCAGTCTATGGTTGTTCATTCTCACCAGACAGTCAATATTTATTATCATGTTCAGAAGATACCACCGCACGTCTTTGGAGTATGGAAACAATGAGTAATCTCGTTTGTTATAAAGGTCATAATTTCCCTGTATGGGATGTTAGTTTTAGTCCATTTGGTTATTATTTTGCAACAGCATCACATGACCGTACCGCTAGATTATGGACTACCAATTATATATCACCACTCCGTATTTTCACTGGTCATCTTTCTGATTGTAATACTGTAAAATTTCACCCAAATATTAACTACTTGGCCACTGGCTCAAACGATAAATCTGCTCGTCTTTGGGAAATTCAAACTGGTAAATGCGTTCGTATTTTTATGGGTCATCGTGCACCAATTTATTCTTTAGCTTTCTCACCAGACGGTCGTTTATTAGCCACTGCTGGTGAAGATACCTCTGTTATTCTTTGGGATTTATCAACTGGTAAAAAAGTAAAGAAAATGGATGGTCATACAAAATGTGTTTACTCTTTAGATTTCAGCCAAGATGGTTCAATATTAGCCAGTGGTTCATCAGATTGCACCGTACGTTTATGGGACGTTAAAAAAGCCTTCAACAACTCTATTTCAACCCAAACCTCAATAAATGATGAGGCTATTAGAAATGCAAATAAAAGAAAATCAATTAAATCAAAATTATTCTCTGAAGAACTCATCGAAACCTACCCAACCAAACAAACTCCCGTATATACTGTCAGTTTTTCAAGAAGAAATTTATTATTAGCTTCAGGTGCATTTAATACATTAACTGCTTTCGATAAATTTTAAAAATAATAAAATATAATCTTTTAAAATAAAAACAAAATTGGATATAGTTCTTTATTTTTAGTTTTAATTTAATTTTATTTATTTTGTATTTTATTTTTCATCTTTATTATTTTGTGTTCCAAATAATTTATCCAATTCGTTTTCATATTTAAAATAATCTAAATATTGATATAATTCCATTCTTGGTTGCATTGTTGAAACTACTGATTCTTGTGTACCTTCATTTAAAATTGTTTTGTATACATTTAATGTAGCAGCGGAAGCAGCTCTAAATCCACTTAATGGATATAAAACGATTGAAACTCCGGCTTTGTGTAATTCTTCAGTTTTAAATAATGGTGTTTTTCCAAACTCTGTTATATTTGCTAAGACTAATATTGGTTGGTTGGTTGGTTAATTATCTAAATAAATTATTTAAATAATATTAATAAACTTTACTTACTTGGTATATTTGGTAAATTTTTTGAAAACAATTCATATTGTGATAATTCAGTTAGAGCCTCTGGGAACAACATATCAGCACCAGCCTCTATATAGGCTTTTGATCTTTTAATTGCAGAATCAATACCCTCATTTGCCAAAGCATCAGTTCTTGCCATAATAACAAAGTTTGGATCTTTTCTAGCAGCAACAGCAGCTTTAATTCTATCTACCATCTCCTCCAAACTAACAATCTGTTTACCAGGTCTATGTCCACAACGTTTAGCAGATACTTGATCTTCTATATGGCATCCTGCAGCACCAGCCAATTCAAACTCTTGTATCGTCCTAGCAATATTGAATGCACTATTTCCAAATCCTGTATCTGCATCTACCAAAATAGGTAATTTTGTAACCCTTGTTATTCTTCTTATATCTTCAACAACATCGTTTAATGTTGTTATGCCTAAATCTGGCAAACCAAATGATGCTGCTGCAACTCCACCCCCACTTAAATAGATTGCTTTATATCCAGTTTTCTCTGCTAGAATTGCTGAATATGCATTAATAGTTCCAACAATTTGTAATGGTTTACTATTTAATACTGCTTGTCTTAATAACAATCCTGGTGATGATATCATTATTTTAATATTGAAAAAAAATAAAAAAAATAAAAAAAATTAATAAAAATTTTTTTTTATATTAAATTTTTAATTTTAAAATAATAAAAAAAAAAAAATTATTTATTTGAAATTAATGACTCGTTTATTTATTTTGTCAACCATCATTGCATTTGTGTATTTGTAGTTCACAAAGAACTTTTATATGGTGGTATTATTTTTAATTTTTTTTTTTGTTTCCCTTTTTTTTTATTTATAATTTATCTTATAAATTTATTATAAATTATTTATTTATTTATTTGTTTATTTATTTTTTTCATATTCATTATTCTTTGGAAGGACTGATATTACGTAATGATGAATTTTAAAATAAAATTTTTTTTTTTTTTTTTTTTTTTTTTTTTAATTTTTTTTTAATTTTTTGATGATGAATTAAAAATTTTTTAATTTTTTTTTTTTGCATTTTTTTTAATTTATGTTTTATAATTTATAAATAAAATGTTTAGAAATATTATTAAATTAAATAGGGGATTAAGTAGATATTACTCTACAGCTGGTCGTAGATCATCAAATGGTAACAAGGGTTTTTCATTCAATTCAAATTCAGTTAAAGTTGGTGGTGCTATTGCCTTATCAGCATTAACCATCACTGGTTTATCAACCGTCTTATTAGAACAAGAAAAGAAAGAAGAACAAGTTGAAGTCAACGCCACCGAAGAACCAAAGAAATCAGAAAAAGAATATAAAAAAGCCATGGATACAGATTACGATATTGAATCATTTAAATACGTTATTATTGGTGGTGGTACAGCTGCATATTATGCTGTTGACAAAATTTTAGAAAATGACAAAGAAGCCACCATTCTTATTATTTCCAAAGAACGTGATGTTCCATATCAAAGACCACCATTAACTAAAAACTTATGGCAAACTAAAGATGATAATGTTGTTAATACATTATCATTCTCAGATTGGTCAGGTAAACAACAAAAGTAAGTAATAAAAAAATAAATAAACATATTCTGATAAATAAGATATACTAATTTTATTTTCCTATTTTAAAAAAAAAAAAAAAAAAAACAGTTTATTATACGAACCAGAATCAGTTTATGGAAGTGAAATTTTACAATTTGTAAAGACTAGATCAGTTATTGATTTACACATTGATGAAAAATTGGTATTATTAAATGATGGTAAGTTAATTCGTTATGATAAATGTTTAATTGCCACTGGTGGTGAACCACGTAATTTCAAATTTACATCAACCGACAAAGAAAAGATTACTACATATAGAACTGTTGAAGATTTCAAGAATCTTTACAACTTTATTAAAGATGGTAATAAACATGTTACCATTCTTGGTGGTGGTTTCTTAGGTAGTGAATTAACATGCTCATTAGGTTTAAATTTTGGTGAAAAAGGAATCAAACTTGCTCAAGTTTTCCCAGAAAATGGTGTTTATGCCAATTTATTCCCAGAATATCTTTCAAATTATGCAACCGAAGAAATTAGCAAAATTGGTGTTGATGTCAAAACTAAGCGTCTCGTCAAAGATATCACCGATAATAATGGTCGTTTAACCGTTCTTTTAGATGATGGTTCTTCATTCGATACTGACCACGTTGTTGTTGCAGCTGGTATCATCCCAAATACTGATGTTGTCAAAAGTACTACCCTCGAAATTGATCAAGTAAATGGTGGTTATGTTGTTAACCCAGAACTCCAAGCCCGTACCGATCTCTTTGTTGCTGGTGATGTTGCTTCTTATTACGATTTCTCTTTAGGTGTTCGTCGTCGTGTTGAACATCACGATCATGCTCGTGCCACTGGTGAACTTGCTGGTAATAACATGTCAACTAAAACAACTCCAAATCCATACACTTATCAACCATTCTTTTGGTCAGATTTAACTCCAGGTGTTGGTTTCGAAGCTGTAGGTAACACAAGTGCCAAATTAAAAACTTTTTCAGTTTGGGAAAAGAAAGAAGGTGAAAACGAAGAACAAAAATACAACAAAGGCAATATCTATTATTTAAATGATAAAAATCAAGTTGTCGGTGTTCTCTGTTATGGTAATTATGGTAAAATGGATACTGCCCGTCGTCTTATCCTCAAAAAGAGAGTTATCCAAGACTTAAATGAATTACAACATGCAATCGATTTTGATGAACATCATTAAAAAAATAAAATAAAATAATATATTTAAACCACATATTTTTTAATTTATATTTTAGACAATATATTAAAATAAAACTAATTCTTTTTTAAAGTTTAATGTTTTTAAAGTTTATATTATTTATTTTTTAATTAATAATTATTTTAAAAATGAGATATTTAGAAGGATTCTCTGCAAATACCACAACCCAAGGCAAATTCTTTACCAGTTGGTGGATGATCAACTTTAAGAGGACAAACATCACCAGATAATTCAATACCACCTGGACCAACTGGACATTGTGGATGTTTCTTTTTATCTGAAAGGGTGGTATGATTATTGTGGCAAGATTCACAGAAATGGGTTCTATATAAATTATTGAGTTAGTTAGATAATCTATTAATATATATTATATTGAAATTTTTTTTTACTTACGTTCCGAAACAGAACCAAATAGCAACACTACAACAATATCTGCATTTGAATTCTAAATAATCTTTACCATGTTTTGGACAAATTGAAGAAGGATTATCACCGGATGAACAACCACCACAGATTAATTCTTCAGGATTAAAGTTTTGAGCGGCAGCACCAGCAACACATTGATTTGTTCCTCCAAAGTATGGTTGTTTGCATTTGAAGCATAAATAATAAGAAAAGTGATCCATAATGAAATCTTCAATACGGTTTTCATAACGACCACCTGGTAAAAGAGAAGGATCATTGTTCATATTGTGATACTCAACACGAACTTTACCTTTACGGATAATTTCTTCACGGATATTGTCAATGACATCGGTAATTGGTTTTAATGATTTGTGTGAGATTGGGATTTTACATATTGGGCATTGAGCAAAGCCAAATGAAATTCTGGAACCGCTCCATCTGGCCTCTAAAAGATTCTTGGTGCAGTCTTGATGGAAAATGTGACCGCAATCTAATTGGATTGAAGGAGCTTCGGTGAGACCCTCAGTCCAACAAATCATACACATATCATCAACATCTTGTGAAAGTTTCTTTTTAGCATCGGATTTTTCGCAACCATGCAAACATTGTAAACATTCTTCTTCATTTCTAATACCGAAACAGTTGTGACCACATGGATGTATTTTAATACAAGTCTTTGATGCTTTGCTACGACACTCTTCATTACTACAAACACCAGTGATACTATCATATGGAAGTAAGTTATGTGATTCTAATTTGGATTTACAGAATCTGCAAAGATCGGCACTGTTATTATTTACTGATTGGACTATTGCTTTGTGTTTCTCTTTATCGACGACAACCAAGTTTGATGATATTTTCATACGAACGCATGATTCACGTACTTCAACAGCAAATGAATCATTATCTAAATTGGAACGGCTATGATCTCTATTGTTTTTGGATAAATGAAGGAAACGATCGCATTCGTTACAGAGATTCATTTGACAGGTAGAACAATAGTAGAATGCTTCAGTAACACCATCATCATGGTTTTGACATGTTTTAACTATACTTTCTGATGTATTACTATTTAATACCTTGATAAAATCTTCATCATCTGCTACAACTAATAAACATGCTAAGCCCATCCAAAGAGTATGGGAACTATTTAAAAGATTGGCTGATGATAATTGTGAAAACTCTTTTCTGATTTTACCTAATAAAAGTGTTTTGATAGTTGTGTGTAAATATTCTTTCCATGATGATGATCTTGAAATAAGTGATTTCATGAGTTGTACCAAATCTTGGGCATTCTCTAAATTAATTGAACCTTCTAAACCTTTAACCAATTGTGTTGATAAATCAAATTTAAATTCGGTTGTTTGAAGTGAACCATTTGATTTTACTTGAACTGAAATTGATTTGGCGATTACTGATAGTAAGAGTTGGGCAAAGTTACCTCCGTTTGATGTGTTGAATGAAGAAGATTCATGCTCTTGTTGAACAAATTCATCAAAAATGGTTGGTTTAATATTGACAATCATTAGTTTACAAATAGAAATAACTAAGTGTTGAGTTTTATCTGTACCACGATGAATAATTGACAATAATGAAAACATCATTGATTTTGATGGAATGAATGATTTGCCTTCTTCACTCTCGAATAGTGTCAATAAGGTTGTTAAGAGTTCACAAACATAACTATCTGATAAATTTTCATCATCGTTGTTATCATCTGAAATACTAATAAACTTGTTAAGATGATTAATTTCTTTTTGTACTTCGTTTGAAATTAATGAGAAAATTTGTTTTTGAATACTGCTGACACCAGATACCGACAAAAGATTTTCAACATGTTCTTTGAGATTCTTTGAGATCTTTTTATTTGAGATACCAAAGATTTGGAATGTTAAAAGCTTCAATAAAGAGACAGTAGAGTCAAACTTGGAGATTTGATAGTTTTTCATTGAGATGTTTGTTTTCTCTGGGTCAACTATCATTACTTTGAGTTGTCTAACACGGATTGATTCAGCACCTACGAAATTCATTACTAAATTCTTGAGAGGTGCTCCATTAAATGGAATTGAGAACCAAGATGAGATGTTTGTTAAACTTAATGAGCCAGTTACTTGGTCAGTATCACCTTCTTTTTCAGCTTTCCAATTAACAGTTGAGACACTATTTTCGTTTGATGTGTTATCTATATAGAACGAAACTTGATGAATAGATTTAACTGGCTCCATTGTAATAGTAATTGAGCTATTTGATGGTGCTTCCCAGAAAGTATTTGTGGTTTCGTCAAATAATGAACCTAACATTTCAGGATTCTTTGATAATTGTACTCTTAACTTATTACCAATGTTAATGTATGATGTTGATTTAATTGATTTATCAACAACTTTGTTTGAATCATTTGAAACATTAATATCCTCTACTGGTGGTAATAAAAGAGTTTCTATAAGTTTTTCTTTACCCTTTGGACTAGCGATAATAAGTGGTGAGGTGCTTATTTTCAATTGGTTGATTGGTGATTTTAATGGAGTTTGGAGTGATGGTGTTAAACTTGATTCATGATGTTTTTGTTCTTTTTCTTTTTGTTGTTCGTTACTATTAGAATGCATCTCGGATAAAATTGTTGAAATCATTGGGAAAATTTCACTATTCTGAACAAATTTAATATCTTCTGGTAAAAGGAAAATAGAGAAACAGAATAGAGAATTCAAAATGATTGAATCTGAATAGTTTCCATTCTTTATCTTTTCAGAGAGGGTTTCTAAAAGGGTATGAAAAGCATTGGTAAAGTCTTTCTTTGAGAATTCTAAAATCTTACATGTTTTGATTGGGTTTTGTGCAACTTTACCTTGCCATCCATCTGGTAACGATTCTTTTGGAGCTTGTTTAGAATGTAATGAACTTGCCAATAGCCAAATAGTGTTCTCTAATGCTGATGGAGTAACTGCCCTTTCAATAACTTTACTAATTGAATTTAATGCTAATACTTTGCTATTTGAGGATTCTTGATCTGAAATATTTTTTTGTTTTTTCATAAAGGATAAACAATCAAATTCGATTAAATCACCAGTGAAGAGTGATATTATACCTTTTGTAACATCTGAACCAATAACCTTTTTGAAGCTATCTTCTCTGAACACTGATGATAATGGTTTTAATACAGGTGAGTTAATACTTGGTGTAGATGAAGATGACAATTGTTGGTTATCAATAGATTTTGGTTTATTTTCTTCATCTTTCTTTATGATATTTAATGAAAGGGTACTTTGATTAATATTGTTTGAATTCATAAATTCTTCAAATGAATATAATAAGGAATTTCTATTATTGTTGTTTGGTAAAGTATCTTCATTAGTTGATAGTTTTGGTAATGATTTCAAATTGAGTTCGTTCAATTGAGTTGATAGGCTTTGAGATGATGATTCTTGATTTTGGTTTTTAGAACAATTAAAATGTGGTAAAATTTCTAATAGTTTTTTAAATCTTTTGAATGAAATTTCTGGAATATCTTCTTCTTCTTGGTCCACTTCATCTCCAAATAAATTGAAAAGCTTGACTTCGCTATCAAGATCTTGAGACAAACAATAACTATTGAGTTTGTTTTGAATCTTTCTCCAAAGTTCAATAACTGGTTCAAAAACTGGAACAAAATATAATTCATTAAATGATTTATATTGTGAATAGCATTGGTTTACAATTTGACAAAATTCTTCCTCTACATTGTTTAGTCTAATAAGTTCTAAAAATATTGTTCTTGAGTGTTTAATATATTCTTCTTGTTTGTTAAAAGATGAAATGATTTCTTTTGGTGTTTCCTTTTTCTGTGATAATTTATTTGTTTTGCTATCTTCTTTTTCATCATCACCCAACTCTACATCCTCTTCAATAATAGTATTATTATGTTCATCAGGAGTGTTTAAACTTGAATCAAGTAAATTATTTTTATTTTCACTTTCTTCTTTTTCCTCTTCCTTTTCCTTTTCTTTTTCTTCAACTTTAATCTTTTCTTTATCTTCTTCTTTATCTTCTTCTTTATCTTCTTTTTCTTCAACTTTAACCTCGTCCTTGGCTTCGACCTCTTTGTCACTTTCGTCTTGTTTTTTATCTTTTGATAATGATTGAACTGATGAGTCAGATTCAGGACTTGAAATTTCGGAATCAGATTTATCACTATCTGAAGAAGATGATGATGATGATGAGGAAGAGTTATCAGAATTGCTCTCAACAAGTTCATCTCTTTTGATTTTTTTTAATTCATTCTTGAATTCCTTAGTTCTTTTGTCTATTACTTTCTTTAAACCCTTCTTATATCCAGCAATTGAATTAATTCTCTTTAATGCAAGCTTTAATTCTTTTTTATTTGATTTGATAGCTGGTGAGCCTGATGATGAACCCTCATCATTTTCAACATTTAACTTTGGAGTTTGTGGCTCTAAAATATCATCTTTTTCTAATGGGAATTTGTTTTGCATTTGTTCGTATCTTAATTGTAATTTTGATTTTGGCTTTTCTCCATTTTCATTAACAGCATCATCTTTTTCTTTATCATCTGCATCTTTATCTTTGATATCCTTTTTATCTTGATTCTTTTCTTTCTTTTTTGCGCTTTCTTTCTTTATCATTTGATCTTTATCTTCTTCAGTTTGTAAGCCTATGGTATTAAAGAATTTGGCCAATTCACCTCCAACAGTATTTGGTGTTTCTTTGATAAAATCTTCGCTATTAAATTGATTATCAGAAGCACTGGCTCTATTATCAAATTTGTGTTCTTTTGAGGCATTGAAATTAATGGTATATTTAACACGATTCCAAATTCTTTGGAAGTATAGTAAACTTTTATATGATTCTAATGAATTGCAACCGTATGGATATTTAGATTTTGGTGTATTATCATCAGAACCTTCTTTTGAATCACTGGCACTACCGCTACTGGATTCATTTGATTCGATATCTTCTTCGATGATAAATGAGGTAATTGGTAATTCAAGGTTTATAGCTTCGAGTTTTAATTTCTTTAACCTATCTTCTCTTTTGTTCTTTTTTGCTTTTACTTTCTTTTCTTCTTTTTCACTATCGCTATCATCTTTTTCTTTCTTTTCTTCATCACTTTCTGATTTTATAGACTCGTCATCTTTATCACTTTCATCTTCACTATCTTCTTTGTCGCCAGCAACGTCTCTAACTCCATCTTCTTTTTTAGGGAATTTCTTTAATTCATTGAAAATTGGTTTATATACTAGTGTAGATGGATCGTTGATCTCCTCTTCACTACCAAACAATTGGTTAGTTGATAGAATTGATATATAGAATGCTAATTGATTTTCAATTGTATGAAGTGGATAAATCTGTGATGATGAATCGATATTAACTAAATGACTTGGGAAAACATCATAACCATAAACATTACATGCGAAACCAAATTTCTCTTCGATTGCTACATTTGGAGGAGAACTGGCAGTTTGGAAATTGAATGCTAGCTTATTACCTGTGACGAGTAAAGATTTATTTGGGAATTTCTTTGAGAAGCCATTGGATTTAACTAAATTTTCAT